AGATGCTCCAAAGAATTATGAAAAATATGTGACTCCCCATGAAGCCCACTATACCCAAGTTTACCAGGAGATTTGGGTAGGAAGGGGGCTGATGGGCTTCATCATTTATAAAATCCTGGCTGCTGATAAAAGAAGCAAGGCTGCAAAAGCTTCAGCTGCTGCTCATGGTCATCAGTAACCAGCTTTACTTGGAGTACACGTGAAAGAAAATGTCAGTCTGCCTGTAAATTTGAGCAAGCTGTGTTAGATGGGGAGCGTGGAACATCACTGTACACGCATTTCAACTGTTTTTTCATGGCATGAATGAATGCATCTGTGAGATGCACAAAAAAAGAGAAGTGGGGAAAGATCTAAAATCTACACCCTATTGTCAAAGTTAAAAGAGCTAGAGGAGCAAGATCAAATTCAAAACCTAGCAGAAGACAAGAAATAACTAAGATCAGAGAAGAACTGAAGGAGACAGTGACACAAAAATGCCCTTCAAAAAATCAGTAAATTCAGCAGCTGTTTTTTTTTAAAAGATCAACAAAATAGATAGACTGCCAGTCAAACTAAAAAGAGAGAGAGAGAGAGAGAGGAAAATTGAATAGATGCAATTAAAAATGACAAAGGGGATATCACCATTGATTCCACAGAAATACAAACTACCATCAGAGATTACTACAAACACCTCTATGCACATAACAGTAAATCCAGAAGATCTGGATAAATTTCTAGACACTTACACCCTCCCAAGACTAAACCAGGAAGAAGTTGAATCCCTGAATAGACTAATAACAAGGTCTGATGCTGAGGCAGCAATTAATAGCCTATCAACCAAAAAAACCCAGGTCCAGATGGGTTCACAGCCAAATTCTACCACACTACCACACATACAAAGAGGAGCTGGTATCATTCCTGTTGAAACTGTTCCAAACAATACAAAAAGAGGGAATCCTCCCTTATGGGGATCGCCCCTGCGAGAGGCTAACACTTTGGCCTCCGCCATTAGGTGAGCTTGATTCCTTACACATTTTCCCTGGCTGGAGGCTGTCAAGCTATGAGAAAGAGGAAATTAAGAAGAGAATGAAAGAGGAAATTGAGAATGATTAAGCAGGACACTATTTTCAGCTTTCTTGGCTGATGAGATAATGGCTAGGTGAAAGCCGAGTGGTCTCACAGGCATTGTGTTCCCCTTTTTCTGGCTCCTGATCTAAGCCTGTTTTATGACTTTGTTTACCGGGCATTGTTTCAGCCTGGCGACCTCCCCTGCAGTCCTTGTCTCTTGCAGATGCATGATTTACTACTGGGCTTGTGACTTCTAGATAATTGAAGATTGCTATCCGAGTTACTGGTTGACATTATTTATAATCAGCATCACCTATTTCCCCCTTGATTCTTTAAATCAGTATTTGTTCCCTTTGACAGTTCCTCAGAATCATCCCTCAGGAATTTTCTGTTCCTTTTATTGTTTGAGTAATGATCTGCATTGAGGTAATGATGTTAAAGAGAAAACTATATAATGGAATCTACTGCACAAATAAAGTCGCTGTTTGGGCACTGCTGTTCAGGCGCTGCCTAATCAGTCCTCCAGACCCCGTCTCTCTCTCTCTGTGTCTCCTTTTTTTCCATGCACACTCTCTTCCAGGTTTGGGACCCTCTCACTGGACGAGATTCCCAGGATCGCATTCAGTTCACAACACTCCCTAACTCATTTTCTGAGACCAACATCATTTTCATACCAAAACCTGGCAGAGACACAACTAAAAAAGAAAATTTCAGGCCAATATCCATGATTAACATCGATGCAAAAATTTTCAATAAAATACTGGCAAGGCAACTGCAACAGCACATCAAAAAGCTTATCCATCATGATCAAGTAGTCTTCATCCTGGAGATGCAAGTCGGTTCAGTATATACAAATCTATAAATTTAATGAATCACATAAACAGAACCAAAGACAAAAACCACATGATTATCTCAATAGATGCAGAGAAGGCCTTCCATAAAATTCAACAGCCCTTTACACTAAAAACTCTTAATAAACTAGGTAATGATGGAATGTATCTCAAAATAATAAAAGCTATTTATGACAAACCCATAACCAATATTATACTGAATGGGCAAAAACTGGAAGCATCCCCTTTGAAAACTGGCACTACACAAGGGTGCCCTCTCTCACCACTTCGATTCAACATAGTATCGGAAGTTCTAGCCAGAGCAGTCAGTCAAGAAAAAGAAATAAAGGGTATTCAATTAGGAAACAAGGAAGTCAAATTGTCTCTACTGGCAGATGACATGATTGTATATTTAGAAGACCCCATCACCTCAGCCCAAAATCTCCTGAAACTGATAAGCAACTTCAGCAAAGTCTCAGGATACAAAATCAATGTGAAAAATCATAAGCATTCCTATACACCAATAACAGACTTAAAGAGGGCCAAATCATGAGCAAACTCCCATTCACAATTGCTATGAGAATAAAATACCTAGAAATACAACTAACAAAGGATGTAAAGGACCTCTTCAAGGAAAACTACAAACCACTGCTCAAGGAAATAAGAGAGGATGGAAAAACATTCCATGCTCATGGTTAGGAAGAATCAATATTGTGAAAATGGCCATACTGCCCAAAGTAATTTATAGATTCAATGCTATCCCCATCAAGCTACAGTGACCTTCTTCACAGAACTGAAAAAAACCACCTTAAACTGCGTATGGAACCAAAAAACAGCCTGTATAGCCAAGACAATCCTAAGCAAAAAGAACAAAGCTGGAGGCATCATGCTACCTGACTTCAAACTATACTACAAGGCTACAGTAATCAAAACAGCATGGTACTGGTACCAAAACAAAGATATAGACCAATGGAACAGAACAGTGGCCTCAGAAGTAATGCCACACATCTACAATCATCTGATCTTTGACAAACTGGACAAAAACAAGCAACAGGGAAAGGATTCCCTATTTAACAAGTGGTGTTGGGAAAACTGGCTAGCCATGTGCAGAAGGCTGAAACTGGACCCCTTCCTTACACCTTATACAAAAATTAACTCCAGATGGATTAAAGAGTTAAACTAACTAACTCTAGAGAGTTAGTTCTTAACTCTTTAAGAACTAACACTATAAAGACCCTAGAAGAAAACCTAGGCAATATCATTCAGGACATAGGCATAGGCAAGGACTTCATGACTAACACCAAAAGCAATGGCAACAAAAGCCAAAACTGACAAATGAGATCTAATTAAACTTAAGAGCTTCTGCACAGCAAAAGAAACAATCATTAGAGTGAACCACCAAACAACAAAATGGGAAAAAATTTCAGCAAGCTACCCATCTGACGAAGGGTTAATATCCAGAATCTACAAAGAACTAAAACAGATATACAACAAAAAATACCAAACCATCAAAAAGTGGGCAAAAGATATGAACAGACACTTTTCAAAAGAAGACATTTATGTGGTCAAAAAACACATGAAAAAATGCTCATCATCACTGGTCTTTAGAGAAATGAAAATCAAAACCACATTGAGATACCATCTCATGCCAGTTAGAATGGCGATTATTAAAAAATCTGGAGACAGATGCTGGAGAGGATATGGAGAAATAGGAACACTTTTACACTGCTGGTGGAAGTGTAAATTAATTTAACCATTGTGGAAGACAGTGTGGCAATTCCTCAAGATCTAGAAATAGAAATTCCATTTGACCCAGCAATCCCATTACTGGATATGTACCTGAAGGATTATAAATCATTGTAACATAAAGACACATGCACATGTATGTTTATTGTGGCACTGTTTACAATAACAAAGACTTGGAACCAACCCAAATGCCCATCAATGATAGACTGGGTAAAGAAAATGTGGCATATATACACCATGGAATACCATGCAGCCATAAAAAATGATGAGTTCATGTCATTTGCAGGGACACAGTCAAATCTCGAAAACATCATTCTCAGCAAACTGACACAAAAACAGAAAACCAAACACCAAATGTTCACTCATAAGTGGGAGTTGAACAGTGAGAACACATGGACACAGGGAGGTGAAGATCACACACCAGGGCCCGTTGTGGAACAGGGGACTCGGGGAGGTGTAGCAGCGGGTGGGGAGATTGGGGAGAGATAACATTAGAAATACCGAATTAGGTGATGAGTGGGATGGAGGCAGCGAACCACCATGGCATATGTATACCTATGTAACAATCCTGCAAGATCTGCACATGTACCCTAGAACTTAAAGTACAATTAAAAAAAAGAAAGAAAAGAAAAAAGAAAAAAAATCACTACAATAACCCTGAGAACTTGATGATGCCTTTGTTTTCTGAGGATGGTTTCTGTGTGCTGGCTGACAGTCCCATAGGGATGGCAAAAAAAAAGTGTAGAGCCTGACTTCTTGAGCTTCTTTTTCAAGCTATGGAAGGTGATAATTCATGAGGCATAAGTATGCTCTTCAATATACATGTTCGAGTTTTCACATCTTTCATTAGATGTGTGTAAGAAGAAATATTTAATGTAGTACCTATTAATCGAAGAATGAAAAGGGATGTCATTTGCAGTTTATTTCACACATATATTACTTAATCTAAATTTAATTTATACATTTTGGTAATGGCCAGCTGCGGTGGCTCATGCCTGTAATCCCAGCACTTTGGGAGGCCAAGGCCAGTGGATCATGAAGTCAGGAGTTCAGGACCAGCCTGGTCAAGATGGTGAAACCCCGTCTCTACTAAAAATACAAAAACTGGCCAGGCATAGTGGCAGGCACCTGTAATCCCAGCTACTTGGGAGGCTGAGGCAAGAGAATTGCCTGAACCCGGGCAGCAGAGTTTGCAGTGAGCTGAGATTGTGCCATTGCACTCCAGCCTGGGCAATAGGGTGAGGTTTTTTTTCTGTCTTGGAAAAAAAATTTTTTTTTTTTTGGGTAACTTACCTGTTACCCCTGCTTAATGTATTTCTTTTTCCAGCTTCTGCTGCATCTGAAATAAGTCAAATATTATTTATAATGTTTAAGAAGAGACCTTATTATGGTAAGAAGTATCAATTACAAAATGTGGCCTTTATATAATACTTTCAGAGACTAGACCTAACTTCAAGATTGCTTTTAAAAAAATCACATAAATTCATATTTTAAGTTTAGGTAAAGGAGAACATATATGTGTTATGCTGTTTAATCTCATAAAAGCACAATTAATATTGGTCTGTTGGACAATGTCATTTCAAAAATGTGAGGTTTTCCCTTATTAGTACGGAGGTTAAACAATTCAACTCATATTTTGCAATGAGTGCATTACTTTCCCATTCTTATCAAAACTCTGCCCTTCATAAAAGTCTAATCAGTTTTTCACTTTAAATGAACTCTCCATTCTCCACTTGTACAAAATAATAATTTTAACGTACATCCTTTACTAGTAATTCAGCACAGAATCTTTAATACACAGTTGAAAAAAGTGTCGTTGTGATGGCATGTGAATATACTTCATTGGCAAAAGATTAAAAATATTATACTATTATGGTTAACATTTTTTTATTCATATGGACAAAAAGATTTCAGAAAATTTACATGAAAACAAGAATAAAAATAGGTTAGAGCCAGTTTTCAATCTTAGTTTCATTGACTCGTTCGTGTCTAGAATTAGAAACTAGGAAAACCATACAGTTATTTAACTGCAACTTGGATTTTGCAACTTTGGTTTCTTTTCAGAAATTAGTACCCATTTTTGAAGCATCTGACAAGTTATAGTTATCTACTTAATTATGAAAGGCGTGGGAATATTTCAAACTTATTGTCAGTGTCTCTATCTAGAGTGCTCTCATTTAAATCTTTTGTAGAATAGGCACTCTCTCATTAAAGGCCCAGAAAGGGTCTGAGATGGTTTGTGGCGAGAATGATAATGATATCTAATGCCTTTATAAATTTTAGGTGTCAATTTTTTTTTTGACTAACAGGTTAACCAATATTTTGAGCCTCCTTTCCATAACATTTCTGTGACAAAAAACATTATAAATAGGCTTTACAGAGTAAGTAACATTGTGACACGGTAAAAGCCCCGTGAAACTGCATACCTCAAACTATACCTCGGCTTTCTGTTGAAACTGCTCTCTGTAACCCTGATGTGACAGGCGAGCAGCCCAAACCCACGCCATGTTGGCCCCTGCAACTTGTAATAAGTAACTAAGGTCTGTAATTTCCACCCTACCCAGACGATGTGTAAACTAATGCTTAACTTCCATGAACCACTTAAGTAACAATCGGAATGTCCGAAGCCCCTCACCCTCACCCCTGCCCAGGAGGTGGTTTACAGAATGTCCAAAGTCCACTGGCCCTGGGAACGTCCAAAGCCCCTTGTCCCCTTCCCTGCCCAGGAGGTGGTTTATGGGCATAAAAGGTCTTGACACCCTCCTTTCGGGGCCACGGGTTGAAGAGACGTGAGTCCTCCTCCGTGGCCACCAGCAACAAAGACCCTGCAATTTGGCATACTTTTGTCTTGGCGTTAACTTTCTGTTGTCGCTCTGGTATAACAACATGACAACAGCATTACCAGCCAGGCCTTATAAAAGAAGTAACTCAATACCAGATAAAGGGGGAGCCTTTCTTCAAAGAATCCCTAGATATTGCCACCCATAAGCAGTATGTAAAAGTACATTTTTACATGACTCAAACTAAGACACTACTACTGTAAAGTTATCTTTTCTCCAAAAAACTCTTCTGCTAAATCTTACCAGTGTAATAGATTGTATTATTTCTTTCTACCCCATTCACAAATACTTTCGTACTACCTCAATTTGGTTAACATAAAAATGAGATACTCTCCTTAACAAATTGCTTACTTTTATACTGAAGAAATCGCAACTCTGTAGGGGAGAATACTTCTGTATAACAACTTTAAATAAAGGTCATTTTATATTCAAACTCTTAGAAATAAGTACATGGTAGAAGTCTCTGCCCCTTTCCACTCCCGGAGTGGCTTCCCCCTGCACCAATTCTCTTCCAGCCTTTCCCTGACCCTTGACTATTTCACCACATAAATGACAGTGGAGGGCAACAGCCTTTGGGAAAGAGATCCCAGGTCAGATGTGAAAGCAGAGGGAAAAGGGACAGACCCAGGACACAGGTAGGGAGTGCCTCTGGGACCCAAAAGCTTAGGAAAGGGGTCTTGAGTGTTGATGACTCGGGTTTTTTCCTGGCCAGTGAAAGGCTCCCAAAAATTGAGAAAAAATAGTTCCTCAAAAATCTTCCCTTGCATCTGATCTGCTTTTTATACTCTCTCATCACCATCTTGTAAAATGATACATTACCTCACTTTTCTGGTAAGTACTGTGAACAGAAAAAATATCTTGGGCCTCAAAATAACTAAGCTAAAAGGAAAACTTAAGCTGGAAATTGCTTAGTGAAAACCTGCCTCCCATTCTATTCAAAGTTATCTCTCTGCTCACTGAGATAAATGCATATCTGACTGTCTCCTTCGGAAAAGCAAATCAGAAACTCAAAAGAATGCCACTGTTTGTCTCTCACCTATCTGGAAGGAAGCCCCCTCCCAACTTCCAGTCTTCCTCCCTTTGCTTCAAGTTGTCCCACCTTTCCAGACTGAACCAATGTACTTCTTACATATATTAATTGATGTCCCCTGTCTCCCTAAAATGTATAAAAACAAGATGTGCCCCAACCACCTTGGATACATGTCGTCAAGATTTCCTGAGGCTGTGTCATGGCATGTATTCTCAACTTTGGCAAAACAAACTTTCTCAATTAACTGAGGCCTGTCTCAAATTGTGGGGGTTCACAGTACTAATGAGAACATTATATCGGCATCATGCTTAACAATTTACAGATATATTTAACATTCATTTTCCTTTTGTACCCAGTGGTACAATTTCATGACTGAAGCATCTGGATGCTAATCATCTTATTTGTTTTTCAGAAAAAGAAAACCTAAGCAAATAATATGATTAAAAACCTCAGCTAGCTGGGCTCCTGAAATCTACGTATTAAAACAGTAATTTAATGCATTGCCTTTTAAGCTATTTGGCTGCAATGCTGCCTAAGAAACCACAGATTTGCTCTTCTGTGATATGTTAGAACATGAAATAGCCAGGTAAACACAACAGGGTCAAGGCCTCATTCCATGTGGGCCTATGCTAATTTTCTGTGCATTTAGGAAATCATAAAAACACCAAAACTAAGACAGGCATGGTGGCTCACACCTGTAATCCCTGGACTTTGGGAGGCTGAGGCAGGCAGATCACGAGGTCAGGAGTTCAACACCAACCTGGCAAATATAATGAAACCCCATCTCCACTAAAAATACAAAAATTAGCTGAGTGTGGTGGTACATACCTATAATCCCAGCTGCTTGGGAGGCTGAGGCAGGAGAATCGCTTGAACCCAGGAGACAGAGGTTGCAGTGAACCAAGATTGCACCACTGCACTCCACCCTGGGCAACAGAGCACGACTCCATCTCAAAAAAAAAAAACCAAAAACCCAACAGTCTGGGCATAGTGGCTCACACCTGTAATCCAAGCACTTTGGAGGCCAAGATGGGTGGATCACCTGAGATCAGGAGTTCAAGACCAGCCTGACCAACATAGTGAAACCCTGTCTTATAAAAAAACCAAAACAAAAACCAATAAACAAAATAACAACAACAAAACCACTGAAACTATAAGCCAATGTGCATTGACTGAAATTTAAAAAATAAAAATAAACACAAAGAAAACTATTAATTTTTGTTCATACAAATGTTTTATGGATTTTTTAATTTTTATAAGAGGCAGAATCTTGCTATATTGCCCAGGCTGGAGTGCTACAGTGTTACAGAACAATCATTACACACTGAAGCCTTGAACTCTTGGGCTCAAGTGATCTATCTGCCCTCAGCCTCAGGTGTAGCTGGGATTACAGGTGTGTGCCACTGTGCTCAGCTTTTATAATTTTCCTCCAGTTGAAAAATGGACAAATGTTAGACAAATACCTTAATCTGAGTTAAGCATAGTTGAACTCCTTTTTTTCTTTACCAATTCTATAATTGACACAGCTTGTCATTCTTGGATCCATTTTGAAATCCTCAGAAATAGACTTACTCTGAGTGAAACTGTTGCAGTCAAGTGAGCATAGAAAGCCAACACCAAGACAAAAGTATGCCAGATTGCAGGGTCTTTATTGCCGGCGGCCACAGAGGACTCACATCTCTCCAACCCGTGGCCCTGAAAGCAGGGTGTCAAGACCTTTTCTACCTGTACAACCACCTCAGAAGTGAGGGTGAGGGGCGTGGGTGGGGGTGAGAGGCTTCAGACATTCTGAGGGCTAGTAGATTCTATAAATCACCTCCTGGGCGGAGATGAGGGTGAGGGGCTCCAGACACTCCGAGGGCCAGGGGACTTCTGACATTCTGATTGTTACTTAAGCAGTTCACAAAAGTCAAGATAAGCATTTGTCTACACATTGCCTGCATAGCATGGAAATTACAAGTCACAGGGGCCAAGATAACGTGGGTTTGGACTGCTTGCTTGTCACATTTGGGTTACAGAGAGCAGTTTCAATGGAAAGCTGAGGTATGATTGAGGTATGCAGTTTTATAGGGCTTTACCATGTCACAAAACACGTGGTTGAACTAAAATGTTCCTGTTACTGATCCAGGACAGATGTCCATGTGCAGCTTTACATGGCATTTGGGGTAGAAAGAATAGAATTGATTCTGTTTGGTCACATTTGCTACTGAAGGACTCAAGACATCACTGCCATCTTAGTCATCAAGTTATGGCTAGGTAGAGAGACATAACTGAGCTTTACTTTAAAAATTCAGATATTTGTTTATTTCAGAATCATTGTACAATTGCATAGTAATAGATACATTTTACAAAAATGGAGATTAAAACGCTGTAAGAGCAATAGCAATGACAGGTGTACTCGTAAAAAAATCACAAATCTTTTAACTTAAAGAACAGAGATTAATCAAGTGTTGCAGGTTTATACAACATATTAAAAGTTTTCACATTGGATCTTTTTGAATAATAAACATCAATGTATGGTTAGTGTGTGGATACCAATCATTCACATATGATGAGGGGTAGAAAACCTGAGATTGAAGCAGGAATGGCCTCGAGAAACAAACCTCTCAAACACCGAACTGCGAAGGAAGAGGTATTTATTATTATTATTGTTATTATTACGGCTGGGAGCCAGGTGACAATTTGTCTAAATGACCACACTCTCCTAACAAAGAGAAGCTCTGCCTTAATATAGGCTTATACTCCAGATATTACACATGAAAGAATCTTAGGTTTCCAGCCTTAGAAATTACCAGTGAAAGGGTCTTGGGTTTACAGTTTTAGAAAGCACATATGAAAGGGTCTTGGTCGATGAAGGAGTGAGATGGGGTTTTGATCTTGTTTAAGTAAAAGCAATGTCTTCTGGAGACATTCCCCCACAACACGCCTGCTATTTACAGGAACGTGATTTAGGAGGCCAGTCGGCCATCCATTTTTTCTAATGAAATGCAGTGTGGAGCTCAAGGGGAAGGTGATCCTAGATGCCTGGGTCTCCTTGTCATGATGATGCAGAAAAACTCTCAAAGTGACCCCAAGCACACTAAATCCTTTAAAAGTGAACCCCAGGCAAACATAAAATCAATTAGCAAGACCACGCACATCAAAGTATACCTTTGTTAAAATCTAACTTAATTGTGGTTTTAAAAGAAATTTAAAATGTGTCAGTTTGGTTACTGAATCAAGTTAACAAAGGAGTAATCTCCTGTGAATGAGAGCTCCGGGGATTCAAAAATCACTAAAATTTCTGTCTCCTCTTTATGAACAGAGATAATTATTACCTTTGCTTACCACACACAACACAATTAAACAACTGAGTATTTCAGCAAGTAACATGCCAGAATTATAACAGAAATCTAAACACCAAAGGAAAAAAGATAATATAACTAACCCTCAACATGAAGCTCTCCATGCTCTCATCTGAAGACCTGCTTTCTCTTCCAATATGTCTTCTGTTGAGACCTTCACTAAGATTTCCAACAGAAGGTGACACTAGGAATGGCCTTGTAGTAGAAGCAGTGGCTGGATATCTGGTCTTCTCTTTCTCCGCAGTAAGCTGGGCACTGACCTCTGCTGTCATCTCCATGGTTCTATGAAGGTTACAAAAGACAAATGCTTAGTATTTCATTTTTTCCTAAATGATTCCTAAATGACTTCAAGTCTTCCAGAAGTTGCCATAAGAGTAAATGGAATATACTGTAAGCCATATTTTAACTCTGAAAATGTGTTAGAGCACGCCTACTGTATCCAGTTATAGTTTTAACATTGGTCTAAAGAAGTACATCTATTTCTAGGGGGAACAACTACTTGTTTGTTGGAAATCCCCCTAGAAATCATGTTGTACTCCTTAAATATATACAATAAATCATGTTGTACTCTTTAAATATATACAATTAAAAAGCTAAAAGAAAAAAATAAAAGCTAGAAATACTTGTATTTAATAAACTAGTTAGAGTTTTTTTTAAAAATTATCAATCAAAGACATTTTCAAGCAATTGTTTTTACTGCCCTTGTACATTTCACCCATTATCTGGAAAAAATTTGAGCATTTGGCATTGAGGAATCATTCAAGGAGACTTTTCCTAGGGGAGAATAAGATAGCTGAGATCAAAGAGAGCTAAAGCAGCATCTATGACAATCAGCTCCTAACACTGTGGCCCACACATCAGAGGTGGGGTCTGCCCTTTCTGTCTTCCACACACCCCCTCAGGCTGTCCAAGGTGCTTTTTTTTTTTAATCACTTAGTAAGTGATACGTCCCTTCAACCCTATGTTAATCATTCTGTACTTCACAAGTGTGTCTTTACGTGGAGTGTAAAAACTACACAGGACGCTTCTTCTCAAGGCGCCCTCTAATGATCACAGTCAAGCAAAGGGAATTTACTCAGTGCCGGAATGTGCCCAGAGTCGTTGTACTTGACCCAAGGTTTCAGTTGCCATCTTCCAAAAATTAATTAAATTCATTAATATTTTGAATTAAGGGAATACTGACAATTTTTATCATGATATCACTGTCTAAATTACGAAGCTTCACAAATATTTAGCTGAAACCCCAATAGATCGGGTTAACTATACAAGAATATTAAGGGGTTGGGGGGAGCCACATAAAACCAAAAACAGGAGTGACATGAACTGTCCTGGACTAATATCTTAAAGGTCAAGTTCATTTACTATCTTCTATTTTACTTAAAGGTTAAGTTCATTTACTATTTATAATTTAAAATATTCAAAAATTGTACAGTCTAGTTAGCTTTCACTTCCTGCACATCTCATGAACCTGTCTCACTACAAGTTATGCTCTGGATGGCAAATTAATGAGCTTAACTTATTTGCTATGATTCTGTATACTGACTTACCTTCTCAGTTCATTTGACAAGGATTTTACAACGTTTAATTCTTCTTGGTAGAGTTTCTCATACGTTTCCAATTCGATTTTATTTTCGGCTTGCGAAGTTTTTACTCTGGAGTGTTCAGATTGCAGGTCGTTGATTGTGAGTTCCAGCCGAGTTTTTTCTGCGGTAATATCATTTACCCTTTGCACTAACTGTTCTAACTGTTCCTGAGGTGCTGCTTGAGTCTAAAATAAATTAAAAAGGAACATTTTTAAAGTAATTATAACCTGAATAATTACTGTGCATTTGTTTCCTTTTGTTTGGAGTCAGTTATTCAGACAACAATTTTAAGTATGTGAAGAAAGAAAGAAGCTCAAACTTCACATATTTATCATCAGTATCAACTGAATTAATGATTGATTCTGAGTTGTACAACAATCCTCCAAACAATGACAGAAACAAGTTAAGATTTTAAAAATGAAACAATGTAACTTAAAAGCACTTCAAGAGTATGGTATAATTTCTCAATCACAATTTTTTTCTTTTTTTACTTTTTCTATTAGTCTTCTTTTATGCATACTGGCCTTAGTAATCAATGATTTTCTAGTGAGAATTCTTATTATGGAAGATCAATTTAGTTAGAAGAATGATGGAAACTAAAATATTTAAAGGGAGAAACAGATATCACCTTCCTTCTAGAAGTCTGCCCAACAAATTGCTGTAAGAAAAGTACAGAAAACATATATGATGAATATATCCAAGATAGAATCTGCAGCGAAACGAATGAAAGCACATTGCAGACAATTAAACCAACGTGCAAGGGGAGACTGATTTCCTTTAACTCTTCCACTATCTTCCGTCTTGATCTTTCTTCAATCGGCACCTCATACTGTTCAGCTTCACCACATTCTAACATACTTCCCTCCATATAACTTTTGAGATTTACTATTTCCTGTTTCTGCTGCTTCTTCTCCTCCTCTAGTGTTTGACATTTCTTTTGTAATGCTTTCAGAGAGAATAATGTCTGCCGAAGAACTTCATTCTCTGCGTCCAGATCTGGACATTTTGAAGATGCAGTTTTCTGTGCTTCAGTAAGGTCATTCTGCATGAGTCAAAAAACAATATACTTTGGTAATGAAGAAGGTAGACAGAGGCTGGGTGTGGTGGCTCACACCTGTAATCCCAGCACTTTGGGAGGACGAGGCGGATGGATCACCTGAGGTCAGGATTTTGAGACGAGCCCGGCCAACATGGCAAAACCTGGTCTCTACTAAAAGCACAAAAGTTAGCTGGGTGTGGTGGGGGGTGCCTGTAATCCCAGGTACGCAGGAGGCCGAGGCAGGAGAATGGCTTGAATTGGGGAGGTGGAGGTTGCAGTGACCAGAGACAGTGCCACTGCATGCTAGCATGGGCAGGAAAAAAAAAAAAAAAGATAAAAGAAAGTAGACTGAGAGTGGTCTAACACAAAACTAATCATTTTTGAAATGAATTCAGTTACAATAAAATATTACCTATACTGTTGTAGATTCATAAAAAACAGACCCTTGGATTACTCAGTAAATTAAAAACAAAGTGAAAACCACCAGAATTTTGGGAGTTTGAATTACTTCTACCATTGTGGAAGACAGTGTGGCGATTCCTCAAGGACCTAGATAGAAATTCCATTTGACCCAGCAATCCCATTACTGGGTATATATCCAAAGGACTATAAATCATTCTACTATAAGGACACATGCACACGAATGTTCATTGCAGCACTGTTTACAATAGCAAAGACCTGGAACCAACCCAAATGCCCATCAATGATAGATTGGACAGGGAAAATGTGGCACATATACATCATGGAATATTATGCAGCCATCAAAAATGATGAGTTCGTGTCCTTTGTAGGGACATGGGTGAAACTGGGGACCATCATTCTCAGAAAACTGACACAAGAACAGAAAATGAAACACTGCATGTTCTCACTCGTAGGTGGGTGTTGAACAATGAGAACACATGGATGGACACAGGGAGGGGAGCACTACACACTGGGTCTGTTGAGGGGAATAGGGGAGGGACAGCGGTGGGTGGGGAGGTGGGGAGAGATAGCATGGGGAGAAATGCCAGATATAGGTGAAGGGGAGGAAGGCAGCATATCACACTGCCATGTGGGTACCTATGCAACTACCTTGCATGTTCTTCACATGTACCCCAAAACCTAAAATGCAATAAAAATAAATAAATAAATAAAAACCACCACCAGAATTCACAAAAATATATCCTTTACTTTCGTCATTTTTTCCACATAACATTTGGATTTGATCTTAGACTTCTATTTTTCTATGATTATTTCATGGCTTTTTTCCTTAAAATGGCTCTAAGTCACCCCCTTAGCACAAGTCTCTTAGTCCTTTAACCCAATGTCATTCTCCGTAAATTGCATGGAAGTTTTAGGGGCGTCATATTAAATTATTTGGGCCTCAGTCAAGACATGGCTCCCATAATAAGACTCTGAAAATAAGACTCTAATAAATCTTGAAAAAAAGTAGATTCTAGCACCACAAGCCTCTTGCTGAATTGCAAGTGTCTTAAGTTAATTTGAATTACATTTCAAGGAGTAATGACACTTGGTATTAAGAAGCAATCACATCTCCCAGTATAAAAGTTGAATGGCGGCCGGGTATGGTGGCTCAAGCCTGTAATCCCAGCACTTTGGGAGGCCGAGACGGGTGGATCACGAGGTCGAGAGATCGAGACCATCCTGGTCAACATGGTGAAACCCCGTCTCTACTAAAAATACAAAAAATTAGCTGGGCATGGTGGTGCGTGCCTGTAATCCCAGCTACTCGGGAGGCTGAGGCAGGAGAATTGCCTGAACCCAGGAGGCGGAGGTTGCGGTGAGCCGAGATCGCGCCATTGCACTCCAGCCTGGGTAACAAGAGCGAAACTCTGTCTCAAAAAAAAAAAAAAAAAGTAGAATGGCATGATCCGTACCACTTTTCTGAATAAAAATGCCTTAATTTAGTAAGTAGCACAGTCTTGTAATTCATTGCTGCTTTACACAAAATAAGAGAACACATTAAACGATGACAATGAAAAATCTCCCTGAAATTTCCGTGGTGCTGAGTTGGAAAGAACTGCTTTCCTTTAGAGGAAATGACTAGGACTTTTTTATTTTAAAAAGGTAAGTGAAGTGGTGGTTCCGAAACATCTGCAAATTGCTTGCCACTTCTCCCATGACATTCCCTCTCCTGAATACAAGCTGGCATTAATAACTGGCTTCTCGTGAACATAATGTGGCAGAACTGCTGTGTGACTGCTAAGGTTGGGTTACAAAATGTCATACAGCTTCCACCTGACTCTCTTTCTCTAGGACTCTAGTGCTTCAAATGTAGCCACCATGCTGTGAGAAAGCCCAAACTACATGGTGAATCCTCATGTAGGTGGGTGTTTGAGTTGTCTTCCCTACCTAATGTCTGCCAAAAGCAGCTTCAAATGCCACAAAGGTGAATGAACAAGCCTTTAGATGATTCTAGTCCCCAGCTTTAAGACACCTCAGCTGATGCCAAGTAAAGAAAAAGTGAGCTGGCCCCACTGAGCCTTCCTTATAACTGCAGCTTATGAACAAAATAGATGTTGTTTTGAGACAAGACATTTTGTTACATACCAAAAAGTAACTGATACAGATATGGACACTGCATATGGATTGCATAATAACAAAAACTACTAAAACATGTAGGATTACCACTGGACCAGGAGCTAAGCAGAAGATAAAAGGACCTACAGAAGAATAAACATGAAAACAAAAAGAGTCTTAAAGCGACTGTGAGTGGAATCCTGATGGTCCTTGAAGAGGCTGGTAGGAAGGGTTTTAAGGATAGTGAAGAAAACGATAGTGGAACCCGAAGGAAAGGACATTGTAACTACACAGCTGCAAATGGAAACCAAAAGCACGCAGGAGCAGCTATATTTCTATCAAACAAAATAGATCTTAAGTAAAAAAAAAACATAAAAGAGAAAAAGAAGGTCATTATATAATAATAACGGGATCACGAGGTGGGTGGATCACGAGGTTGGCAGATCGAGACCATCCTGGTCAACATGGTGAAACCCCGTCTCTACTAAAAATTACAAAAAATTAGCTGGGCACGGTGGTGTGTGCCTGTAATCCCAGCTACTCAGGAGGCTGAGGCAGGAGAATTGCCTGAGCCCAGGGGGTGGAGGTTGCGGTGAGCCGAGATCGCGCCATTGCACTCCAGCCTGGGTAACAAGAGCGAAACTCCATCTCAAAAGAAAAAAAAATGTAGGAGTCAGGAACCTGCCCCTAACCTCGGCAGTAGCACAGCAAATCAGGAGGTGGCAGGGAAAGCTATCTGCCCTGTATAGCCAATGAAAAGGTGCATTTGGCCGGGCACAGTGGCTCATGCCTGTAATCCTAGCACTTTGGGAGGCTGAGGCAGGCAGCTCACTTGAGGCCAGGAGTTTGAGACCAGCCTGGCCAGTATAGTGAAACCCCATCTCTACTAAAAATACAAAAATTAGCTGGGCATGGTGGCACATGCCTGTAGTCCCAGCTACACGGGAGACTGAGGCAGAAGAATTGCTTGAAACCAGAAGGTGGAGGTTGCAGTGAGCATGGCAGTAGGTGCCTGTGATCCCAGCTACTCAGGAGACTGAGGCAAGATAATTGCTTGAACCTGGGAGGCGGAGGTTGCAGTGAGCAGATATAGCACCACTGCACTCCAGCCTGGGTGACAAAGTGAGACTCTGTCTCAGAAAACAAACAAAAAAACAGAAAAGAAAAAAATGTATTTCTTACAGTGTTCTGGATGCTCTGAGGTCCCAGGTGACAGGTCACATCTGGCGAGGGCCTCCTTGTTGCATCATAACATGGTAGAGGGCATCACAGGGCAAAAGGGGCTCACAAGAGAGAACCAAAGTGGCTTTTATAACTAATCAACTTCCATGATAACCCATAAATCCATTAATGAGTTAATACATTCAAGAGGATAGAGCTCTCATGACCCAATCACCTCTTAAAGGCCCACCTCCTAATACTGTTGCATTGGGATTAAGTTTCACCCTGAGTTTCAAGAGAATAAACATTCAAACCATAGCAGTGAGTTTTAACCAGAAGTTGGCCCTTGGTTCACTTTCACAATCCTGAAACTTTGCTTAGGGCACTTTTAAACTCTAATCTCAGGGTAAGCTACTGTGTTTTACTGTAAGTATGCAAATAATATTTAGTATGATCTTGGGAAGG